CCTCCTACTCCTCCTCCCACCCCTTTAATTTCCACAACAATTAGAGATGGCTTAATTTCATCTTTCCTTTGGCCTTTCTTCTCTACTAATAACTTCATTAACTTAGTTATATATTTTTCAAATTACAATTGAAGAGAGAGTTAGATCAAAAAGCGGAAAAGATGTTGGACTATAACTGGGGAGAGCAATCATCTGTTATGCTTTCGAACGACGAGCAAAATCAAGAAAATGACCAAAATCGTGACTTCTTTGACCCTTATGGGCCTAATACTCAAACTTTCACTGAAAATCCATACCCTCATCAACATTTTCCTACCATTCAACAACAAAATCATCAATTTTTTCACACCCAAAACAACCCTACTACCCTTTATGACCCACGTGGTTATGAAACTTGTTACACCCCCCACCCCCAAAGTTCAATCCTACAACAAAATAGTGGGTTTATGGTTGTGCCAAAAAGTGAACCACATCAATTTGTGGGTAGTGGTGGAGGAATTGATTTTGGGAGTAGTAGTAATAGTAGTAGAATTGGGTTGAATTTAGGTGGAAGGACTTATTTTTCATCTTCTGAAGATGATTTTGTGAATCGACTTTATCGACGCAGTAGAGCAGTTGAAACTGGTTCAATAATGAATACTCCTAGATGTCAAGCTGAAGGTTGTAATGCTGATCTTACTCATGCCAAACATTATCATAGAAGACACAAAGTTTGTGAATTTCACTCCAAAGCTTCTACTGTTATCGCCGCTGGCTTGACTCAACGATTCTGTCAACAGTGCAGCAGGTTATCTTATTTTGCCTCTTCTCATAATACACTAACCATACCCTATTTCATCAAATGATTGGAGTTTGGAAATTGAGGAATCGTTGATCCCGAGGGCATTTGAGTCCAGTAATTTTGAGTAGTACTTTTTTTTGCTTGTTATAGGAATTACAGCTTTTTCCATTCTGGTTTCCTCAATAAAACTAATCATCTTTCTAAATCATAACAGGTTCCATTTGTTGTCGGAATTTGATAACGGGAAGAGAAGTTGCAGGAAACGTTTAGCAGATCACAATCGAAGGAGGAGGAAAAATCAACAAGCAAACTTAGAAAACAGCAATAAATCTCAACTTGATAGTACCAGAAATTCACCATCCCACACTCTTGCTAGTAAGTTTTTTTTTCTCATAATTAATATTTTGTGATTTTAAACTATTTAGTGTAATAATTAGTGATTTTATGTTAGGGTCTCCAGCTGATTCAGGAGCTCATTGTTCATCAGTGACAGTAGCAATTTCTCCACCAAGAATCTCACTTGATGTTTTTAGGCAAAGACCATAATAAATTATGCTAAGTATCACTTCTTAATTAATTATTACTATATATCTAGCTACTAATAGAGTAAAATGATTAATATGAAGTATTAAGAATTATATGTTAACCCTTTTAATTATTAATTAGTATGTATTATTAGAATTATGTTAATCCTTGTATTTTGTAGGGGACTTTTAATTGTATTAATGTCACATGTAGCAAGAAACATATATTAATTATTAAGAATTCAAGTTGTTTTTTCACTTATGAATGCTATATTTTGTCTCTTAGCTTTTTTATTTAGTTCATGAATCCATTGAAGAATCTGTATTATTTAACTTGTTATAGCATGTTGTCTGTCTTATTTTAGAAATAATTAATTTCACTTGTTATGAACGAATTGAACTACTCATAATTATTATTTTGATAATATATAGTACAAAAATTAAAACTCTTAAGTTTCTTTTTTGGTACAAGACTTGGACATGGCAGGTAAGCTCATGCAGGTGTATTACCATTTATAGTGTATGCATTATTTTATTTTGTCTGCTACTTGGATATTTTATTATTCCTGTAAAGTGGCAGTAAAATAAGTAGAGGTAAATAAAAAATAAAATAATTTTCATGTGGTAAAAATAAGTGATTGTGAAAGTGATAGCTATTTCTATTGGTGAATATACTGCTAAGGGTATAAGAGGTCCACAAGTCAAGCTGTCTCCTGCATGGAAGCTGTTTTTGATCAAAAAATATTTATGTGGTAAGGGTCCACTAAACTATATATTATTATAAGGATTTGAATGAACAATTCTACATCAACATCTCTTTTTTTTTAATTTCTTATAACTAATTGATTTTCTTTAAGAGAATTTTTGTTGATGCTTACTCTTATGAGTTATGTGTAGTGGTGGGGGTAGGTGCATTAATCAATATGTTTGTGATTCTTTGACCTTTCTTATCACAAACAACAAAAATTCATAAATCATATCATTAGTATAAATCATTAAATTATCTATTTTATGGTTATGATCAATTTCTTAAACTCTATTATTATATTTCTAGGGGATTCAAAATATATTTAAGTGCATTAAAAATATTTTTTAAATACTTTATATTTATGTGGTGTAATTTTTTTTGCCAAGGGGGTTTGGGTAAAACACCCTTAGCCTCTTCTAGATCTACCCTTGCTTTCATAATTCCATTCATTCTTTTTTACATCCTCTATACTGAAAAGTGACGTTCATTTTTACTTGTCATTTTTTGTATATTAAAAGAAATATATTTTTTTTTTCATATTTTATCCACAATATTAATCACTTACTTTTTAATATCTAAGATTATAAATCAATTAATATGTATGGTGATAAAATATTCATATTGATCATTAGTTTTAAAGAACGGCAAAATTTAAAATAGACAAGTAAAAATGAACATCATATATGCAACATAAAGTTAAATTTATTAAAATAGGATTAAAGGCAAATAAATTTGATCCGATCGCATGTTTTGTTTTTTTAGCTAGAATCTGACGATACTAACACCAAATTAAGTAATTATAAGGATTAAAAGTAAAATAATTCATTAATATCAAAATCTGAAAATAGAAGACTAGAAAGAGATTATGAATTTAAAACAAGGATTGATTGTTACAATCTAGAAAAAAAGAGATGTCCACACTCCCACGCAAGAAGTTATTTATAGAACAAAATCTCTTATATAATCTTACAAAAATGTTAGTCTAGATTCTTAAAATGTCTATTCTAGATTACACTTGAGTACGTATGATTACCTGGTCACAAATCGTCACAGAGTTTTGCGATTGATTGTTGATAATTTCGTTATTATCATGTTTTGTGCATCGGATAAAATAGAGAGTCCAAGCCTAAAAATATTGCTTCCCCATGTTAAATTAGATGTCATTCATAAATATTTTATTATTATTTACGAGAAACTCTTGATTTCAAAATCTACTAAGGTTCGATCTCATCTCTTTTTTCCAATCATGATTTCATGCATCGATATCAACATTAGTTTTACAAGGGCTAAAAATTTACCCCATCTATCATGAGAACTTATTTGTTTCTCCCTATATTTTCTTTTCTAGAGTACAAAAACCATAGATTTGGTGTAACTTTGACAAGTCAAACGGTGAAACCCTTTTAGAATTATTATTTTTAATCAATAATAAACCATGATAAGGTTAATGACTTTTATATATTTCTTCCAATTTATATCACTTGGATGATGTGGATGATGTTGATCTAATACATTTCTTAAGAAAACTTTCACTAAAGGTTAAACTTTAAATTTGACTATTATCATTTTATGTAGTCATTTTAAACTAAAAGTATGAAAGAAAAAAAACTCTTTTGATGTTAAAATATTGAACAAGTAAAATGAAATATTTATTTTAATATAAGGGTAAAATAAAATGAAACGAATAATGTAATAAGACAAAATACTTTATACAACATATTAAATTACATGATAAATTTAAGATGTATTTTTGGAAAGGATAAAACAATATTATCTTTAATGTATCATAAATGGTTTGAATTTTTTGCTTCTTCCACCTATTTGACTACTATTGCCCTTAACATTAATGCTTTGGCGTAAAAATGTCTCTCCCTCGATGTTCTATTGACTCCAATAGTCTTTTACGATGACAAAAAAGTACACCCCTTATTTTAACAAAATTATGAGATGATATATGTGAATTTTAATTAAATAAATAGTAATGATTTATTGGTCCACATGAATGTTAGACTCAACCCATCCAAATTATTAGTATTAAAGGGCAAATAAGATTCAATGAAGGGTAAAAGTAAGAGTGCTTTTAAACTAGAAAATATACGTTAAAGATTATTGAAGTCTAATAAATAAAATGAAGGGCAAACTTAAATCATTTTCAATATATTGGAGATATTTTTTTTATCTGTTTTCATAAAATAAAATAAAAATTATAGTAATAAATGGGTGGTAATTTCATATGGGTGTATATAGTAATTATTATGAGTTGGTAATTTGTCTTTAGTGTTATGATGATTGGAAGAGTTGACGTATAGAGGTTGGTTTACCTTCAATGTTTTCTTTGAAACTTCCACGAAATTCAACACCACATTTTGCCTCCTTCCTTCTACACATTGAGTTGATATTCATACTTCTCTCTTCACGTCATTTTCATAATAATAATAATTATTTTAAAAAAATAATTAGAAAATATAATTTTTATTAATATCAAAGTGCTAGTTACAAAACTAAACGAGACAGGTCACCCATTTCTAAAAAAAAGAAAGAGAAAAGTATTAAAAATATCGGTAAACTTGGTGTGGACTATTTGTTTTATTTAAACTATTGTAAGTTTTAAAAATATCTTTTATTTTGACTAATTGAACTTAAATACACCCTTAATCTTGCAACATGAGCGAAATACACTCCTAAATTCTCGCCAAGTTTAGGGATGTTTTCAACACTTCCCTCGATTATTTATTAAGAGTCCCACGATCCTACAAAAAATTGAGATCACTTGCTATGTCATATGATAGATCGGGAGTATATCTAAGTTTAGTTAGTCAAGTAAAGGAGTATTATTAAGGCTATCAATAGTTTAGGACGAAACTAATAATTTACGCTAAGTTCAGAGGTGTTTTCAATACTTCTCTCACAAAGAAATACAGACTTGAGACTTAACAAAGGAGCCTAACTACATTATTTTTTAATTTTATTTTCTTAAAGTTTTACCCCTAGACGAAGTGTCTAGCGGTCTTTTATTAAAATTAAAAAATAATAATAATAGGGCTAAGTACAAGCAAGGGGAATTAGGTGTAATGTCTCATTTCTTGTGAAATTACTTTATTTGTGAAATGATCATTACGCCCTTCCTCTTGGAGTTATCATACTTAGTTTGTGTTGCGGGAATAGTTAGTGTGGTCCCCGATGTGATCGGGTGAGATTTTGGGTGTTTTGGAGTCTTTTAAGTTGAATTATATTGATACAGTTGACCTTGGTTAACATTTTGAGATCCAAGTGTCGGATGGCAATTTCGTTAGTTCCATTGCATCCGAAACGTTCGGTTTGAGCTAGTAGGGTAGTGGACAAAGTTTCAAGGCCTTAGGTTGAGTTTTGGGTGTTATAGGCGAGATGCTGAGATTTTAGCCTAAAGAAAGGTCCGGTAAGATATTTCTATCCATTGACCTTTTTTTGAAGATCCGACAATTTCATTGAATCTGGAATGTCGAATTTAGTGGGATGGCATGTCCAACTAATTTTTATCGGACCGCAAACTATTTTCGAGGGTCCAATAGAGTCCATTTTCTTGAAATAAAACAACTGATTTTCTGGTTTCTGGTGCAAGTATTTTAGATCATCGTGATTGCGACCAAGGGGCTCGCGTTCGCGATGAGTAGCTTCAGTGTCCTTCGCAATCGCGAGAGTTAATGGATCGCAATCGCAATGACCATTTTTTACTTGGACAGAACCTAATTTTGGGATTCTTCCCCCCTTTTCATATTCCATCATTTTTCACTCAATAAGAACTTAGAATAGGCAATTTTGGGAGCTTTTGTTGTTTCCTTCAAATTTTATCTTCCTAAAACTCTCTTAGATCATGATTTCAATATGGGTTTTGAGATTTCTCGCCCAAAGTTGGAAGATTTGTTATTTTTTTTAATTGGAGCTTGTTTCTTACTTGTTTTTAATGGGCGTCTCCATCACAAATTCCTCTTGACTTATAGAACTCATTTTTCAAATAAAAATCTGATTTTACCCTTTCAATTTTTGAAGAGATTTTTGGATTATTTTACCTCTGGTTCCTAACCTTATCAATATGGGTATCATTTGACCTCTTTTGATGAGTCTTTTTCATTTTGATAGTCGGGGATCGTGTAAAAAAATTAAAAATTTGGTAGAAAAAAAACTTTGGGAGAGTTGTTCGGGTAAAGATTGACCTTCGAGGTAAGTTTGGCTATACCTCATTTAAACTGAGATGAGTAATTAATATTTCTTATGAATTCAACTGTGGAACGATATTGTAGCATGAAATTGAGAGGTTAGTAAGTGTAGACTATTTTGTTTAATCTGTGTGAGGCTTATTTGTGATGCTTAGCCTTTGTGAAGGCCTCGCACTACAAAGAAATTGCCGAAAAAAGACGGCCAAAAGCGACGGACTGCGTCGCTTTTTTGGTCAAAATCGACAGAAAAGCGACGCATTCATGTTCGCCGCTTTTTGGGTCGACGCTTTTCAAAAAGCGATG